TAGCTGTCATCAGCTTTACCCCAAAAGGTAAAGGGCCTTTTGTACAGCCCGGCTTTCTGAAAGAGTGCTCCTTACAACTTGGATCGTCACTCAAGGCTCCACAAGGCGGGAGGCAGCCCGTGAGGGCAAGGCTTTCCAGGAGGCATCGGGGAAAGACTGTTACACTCAGAACCGGAGACCTGGCGCGACCTCGCCTCTCTCAGCCTCAGTAACACGTAAATCTGGGAAATGGCAATAATCGCAGCTTCCCAGGGTGCATAGAGGACCGTGAGCCTTATTGTTATTGTTTTTCTGGCTCCCTTTGTATCTCCATACCTCTCAGTGCTGTGCTTGACTCATATCATAGTGGACACTAATCAATATTTGATGAATGTGCGAGTTAACTGAAATAACAAACGTGAGAGGGCTTTGCAAACAGCAGAGCGGGGCCTCGGCAAAAGATCTTTGCTTCTCAGTACGCGTATTCTGTGCTTCGCAAACAGCCTGCATTAAGTGTCTTCTCCCCTTGAAACTGACCCTTCCCCCCGTAATGGGACTCAAAGGGCCAGCCCATCTGACGGAGCGTCTCTGGACTGGCCAGCTGAGTGATGGCTGTGCCGACAACACTGGCGAGATACGCAGTTGCCTAAGAGCTCGGAGGTGGCCTCACCCTCCAAGGACTTGGCCTCTCGACCCCAGCCCCTCTGACACGCACGCACCTGCAGCCCTTCTCTCGCTCCAGGGCGGGCAGACTCCCTGAGCTCCTTTGCTGTCCTCGTTGGCACTGGCAGGGGTGGGAGGCACGCCGAGGAAGGGGCATGGCAGGCCTCTGCTGGGACTCCTAGCGCGGAAGCAGGACCACTAATTGCCTCCCCTCTGTGGCTTCTTGGGACGGTACAGACAATCGAGTGCTCCTTTGTGGAACATTGTTTGTATCTCCAACCTCTTACCCACAACTTCCCGTCCATGCCCATGCCAGGAGAGAACGGGTCTTCTCTCCGTGTTCTCTCTCCCGTGTGTTGTCCACCAGACAAAATGACTCATCCACGTTGCCATGACCCTCTGGTGGGAGTGGGAGGGACTTTTAACAGGCGTTGGTTGACGGGACCAGCATCCTCAGAACAAGTGAGGAGAGACAGGTGCTTTCTCGTCCACCAGTTCTCCCCGCAGGCGCAGCTGAGGGAGCAGCGGTAGAAGTTCCGGACCTTCCACGTGGGGACGCGGGGCTTGCCACCCATCACTCTGAGCTTCAGAAACCAGGGTGGTGCCAGCATGACCTCTCAGGGTCATTGTGATCATGAAAATGGATGATGATGCTTCAAGTGGCATAAAGTTGTTCCCACCTGTTATTACTCATGCGTAGTGAGCGCACCAGGACGGACGTGCAGAGCCCTCACCATGTGCGGCACTTCCCCTAATGCAGTCCCCACAACAGCCCTCCCTACAGGATTGGGTTGTTTTGCCGGTTTTATGGGTGAGGAATCGGAGGCTCCGAAGGGTAAAGAACTTGCCCAGAGCCACGCAGCTAATGTGTGTTCGAGCCTGCACTTAAGTCCAGGCCCACTTCCATCTCCACCAGCTCACGATGCTTCTCTCCTGCATGCCGTTGCGTTGTCTCTTAAAATTCTTGCAGACTCCTCTGGCCTTCACCACCTGAACCCACCCTCTCACCGGAACCCTTCGCGCTGGAACTCTTGCTGGAGTTTCTTGTTTGCTTACTGCTTGGGCTTCAGATGTTCTTCTTGGCCCTGCTGTCAGCTTACCTGCCCTGACCTCTAAGCACGGGGCGCACCAACACTGACCGAGCACCTTCCTGGAAGCAGGCACCTGGGCTTGTGAATCAATGGGAAAAGGCCATTCCCTTCCCTTCCCGGGCTCTGGGACGTCTCTGCCCATATGAAAGCCATCGCCTCAGCCCTGACTGTCCCGGGAGGAGGATCGCCCATATTTCATGGTTGATCCCCCCTCTGGAAATCACTAGGCATGATTTCCCAGGCAGACCCTTCAGAGAAACAGCGATGCTTCAGATCTTGAACTTGGCAACTAGGAGTGGGGCGGCGGTAGAGAGCATTGACTCCTGGCAGGAACCTTGCTCAACCTCTTCCCTCCTTGGAGACAAAGAGTTATTAGCTCCACTTCAGAGATGGGAAAAGGAGATAGAGGGACTTGCCTCACTTCGCTTAGTGGGTGGGTCATGGAAGGGAAAACTTATGTCATCAGTCCCTGTGTGTCCTTGGGCACCAGGTACCTCTGGGTGGTTGCTATGCTGGTTGAGCATTGGCTGTGGGCTGGGCATAGGGCAGGCCCTTGGAGGGCTGTCACTCAGAGTACCCCACCGCCTGGCGCCTCACTCCCAGACCCATGTCCTGACCCTACCTGGTGGTCAGAGAAGGTGCTACAGGGCAACTCCTCACTCGGGGGTCCTACCTGAGAAGCTGGTCCCGGGGCACCCACTCCCCAGGTGGGTCTTTCTTGGGGAGATGCATTCAAAGATGCTACCAGCTCCCCCAGCATCAGGCATCTCCCCTACAATTAGGCAAGAGATAAATCAAAGCCCAGTGTGGCTGATGACATTCAGGAGCCAATGGTGACCCCTGCCACACACACAAATCCCAGCGGGCTGGCTGCGGCCTTTGTCTGGGCAGGAGAGCTCGGGACTCTCTGGCCCTCTTTGCTGATGTATGGAGTCACTAACTGTCGGGGTGTTTACGAACAGTTATCACCTCAATGCTGCGGCCATTATCAGAGGCAGGGCCGCCTGCCGGGGCCAGGGCTCGCACCCTCTCTATTACCACCTGTCATTGGCAGGGAGTGTGCGCTGACGCTGCCCAGTCCTGGCTGCCGCGGGGAGATAGTCTCTGACGGCTGATCAAAGAGGAGCAGCAAGGCCTGATAAAGAGTGTGCGTCGCGTGTACTTTTAACTCGGGGAACATTGGCATTTGCATTTTCCCCCCATCTTCCTGGTGCTGGCAGGAACCGAGCCCAATAAATGCCGTGGATTCAGTTACCTAATCGCCGGGGAAATGGCATGTGCTTAAAGCAACAGAGCAGGACTGTAATCTCTTTCCAAGAGAGAGTGGATGAAATAAGCTTTCACAGAAGACTCGCCGTATAATAAAGCAGAATAATTTAAATGGGGACTTTGAAGTGAGCTTGCGTGTAGAAGCTGACCCTGGCCCTTGGCAGAGCACCGTGTACGTTTTGGAATGTGGGAGCAGCTTCAGATTAAGGGGAGATCTTTGCTGAAGGTGCTGTCACCCAACTCTTGCTGGCATCCCCCAAATGGGGCCCCAGGTGTGCTCAGCCTTTGGCGGCTGGGAGGCAATGGCCACGGAGCAGAATGAGTTCCCCAAACATCAGAGATCTCAGTTCTTTTATTTATATTTCTCAATTACAGTTTACATTCAGGAGCATTTTGTATTAGTGTCAGGTACACAGCATAGTGATTAGACAATCATAAACTTTATTTTTATTTATTTATTTATTAGAGGCCCGGTGCATGAAATTCGTGCACGGATAGGGTCGCTATGCCTGGCCGGTGATCAGGGCTGATCTGTGGGGCCCCCGCTGGCACCCGCCTTGGCCAGCCTGGCACTACCCGCTCACTAGCCCTGCCCCCCACCTCCATCGCCGGTCACCTCCCTCTGCAGGGTCACCGGCAGGGGAATGGGGAAGGGGGGCCCATTGGCACCCGCCTTGGCTGGCCTGGGGCCTGAGGGGCGGGGGGGCAGCTCCTGCATTGAGCGTCTGCCCCCTGGTGGTCAGTGCACGTTATAGCGACCGGTCATTCTGCCGGTTCTGCTGTTCAGTCGATTTGCATATTAGGCTTTTATTATATAGGGTATCTTTATTTTAATTTATCATTATTGTTGAAAGTATTACAGATGTCTCCTTTGTTTGTTTTTCCCACTGACCCCCTCCACCCCGCCCCTGCCCCTCCAGGCTTCATCACTCCACTGTCTGTGTCCATGGGCTGTGTGTATATGTGTATAAGTTCCCCAGTTAATCACTCCCCACCACACATCCCACCCTCATCTTCCCTCTGAAATTTGTCCGTCTGTTCCAGGCTTCTATTTCTCTGCATCTATTTTGTTCTCATCATTAGATTCCATATATGAGTAAGATCATGTGATAAAGACAATCATATCCTTTACCCAGTGTTCCCCCTGATATTTCCAGGACCCACCTGGCACTGCATGTAGTTATTACATGGTAATAACAGAGATCTGAGTTCTTGGACCAGGTCGCCCACAAACGTGCTGTTGGATTTGGGGCCATAACTTCTCTGAAGTTCAAATGTAAAATGAGGAGGTGTGGTATGGGATATAGTGGTTTAGAAAGTTTAAGTTTACGGTTTATAACTCCTGTTTTAAATGAATCTTAAGGGAAGCTGTATTGTATCAAACAGAGACAAGTAGAGGTGTTTTGGTTGAACCTGGGAAGGAGGTTCACTGCCCTTGACCTAGTCCCTATGCCTGGCCAATGATCAAGGCCAATCTGTGGGACCCCCTAGTCCCTGAAGCCGTTCCTAGAGACTTCAGAAGGACCCTGTCGCTGCTCAGAAAACAGTTGAAAAACCACTCACCCAGCGACATCATAGAGGTCATTTCCTGGAGGTCTACACTTTGACCAGAGGCATAGCTGCTGCTTTCTGTCCTACACATTCATGGTGTGTGTGTGTGTGTGTGTGTGTGTTTGTGTGTTTGTGTGTGTGTGTTAATTAATTTTGAGAGAGAAGCATTGACTCATTGTTGATGCACTTATTGATGCATTCATTGGTTGGTTCTCGTATGTGCCCTGACTGGGGATCGAACCTGCGACCTTGATGTATCAGGTCGATGCTCTAATCAACCCAGCTACCTGTCCAGGCCCCACATTCGTGGTTTGTAGTGCTCTCTCCTTCGTCTGTCCTGGAGAAGAGCTAACTGGCCCCTGGACAGGGCAGGGAGTTGGTGGTGGGTAGACAAATAGAAGGGGTTCTGCCAGCATGGACTCATGTGCCATGTCCCGTGTGCTGCAGGTACCTTTGACCGGAGCGTGACCCTGCTGGAGGTGTGTGGGAGCTGGCCCGAGGGCTTCGGGCTGCGGCACATGTCCTCCATGGAGCACACCGAGGAGGGCCTGCGGGAGCGGCTCGCCGACGCCATGGCCGAGTCGCCCAGCCGGGACGTGGTGGGATCCGGAACAGGTAACGTGGCGTCACGCTCCTCGCCGGACTTGGTCACAACTGGCACCTGCTGGTGTGGAGCTTCTTTGGCGGGAGAGGGTGTGTGTGTGTTTTAACTGCTTGTTTCTTCAGTTAGCTCTCTGATTGCTGCCCCTGGGGAAGCTTCCGGGCATGGGAAACCCTGTGGAAAGGGGAGTTCCCGGTGGAACGGACCCGTCCTCGGTGGAATAATTCATACAAAAAATTGTCATGAACATAGTATTCTGTAAGTGGCTCCCAGAAGGGCACCTTCTCCAGGGGAAGGGACCACGTTGGCGTCTCGGAGGTTTTCAGCAGCCCTTCGGCACTGAGCGCTTAGGCCGCACCCCTGCTCCTGCCTCGCTGGAGGCTTCCCAGAATGGCAGGTATCGGGGGGCCTGCCACCTCGGGAGGTGGGGGGGGGGGGGGAGCAGGCATGAAGCAGGCAGGGATGGTTTGAGCCCGCCAGGAAGTTTTCTCCTACGCTGCCTTTCGCCCTTGTCTTGCCTCTGAGAGAGCCCAGCAACAGGCCCGGGGTGGCTTCCCGCATCTGTAGAGCAGGCAGAAAACATCCTTAGGTGATGGGTGAGCGCTGCCCCATCAAGCAGGTGTACACATGCACGCACACACACGTGCACGTGCACACACACAGAGAGCACGCACTTAGGAAAGACCTCCATCTCCACACGGTCACAGGACAGCTGCCCTCTTTGTCCAAAGCACCTCCTCATTCTGGGTATCTGTGCGGTTCGTGGCTGCGGTAGCCCCGCCTTTATGCCTGAAAAAGACTGCCCCACAGGCTGCTTCCCAGCTTCCTGAGCTCAGCGGGAACGCATACAGGGTCACGCAGTCCTCCCGCTCCTGCTTTCCTTTACTGTGAACTGCCCCATCCCTGCTCCCCACGCTCCCTGGAGAGAGGATCCCAGAGAGGAGGAACTTACAACCCTGGGGCAGGGACCAGGACCAGCGAGGTGTTGAGGGTCCAAGCACTTGGGCAGGGCTTGAAACGCCTAACGAACGTTATCCCACGGTCTCACTTCCCGGCGGATCCTCCGGGGCATTTGGGTACCGGGGGTCAGCAGTTAAGCTTTTCCCGCTCTTCTTCCCCCTCCCGTTTAGTCCCTGTGTTCCTGCACTAGGAGGAAAGAGACTCTGCACTCATCTCTCTCCCCACAGTGCTAGCATCGTCCTGTATACTGATAGTGCTTGTATACTGATTGGCAAAGGAACAGGATGGAGGCAAGAGAGGGAGAGAAGCAGCTTAGCTAGAGGCAGCAAGTACCTGCTCAGGCCAGGCAGACGGCCAGCCATCTCTGAGGCCCAGCCTCCTTCCACGCCCCTTCGCCCCTAGAAGGGGAGGACGCTGCCACGCCACGTCACGTCTATTCCCTCGCGCAGGTCTAGACACGTGCACAATCTCTGGCTCCCCCCACCAAGAGCTCCCAGCTGTGGCAGCTGCTCATCGTGCCTTGTTCTCGCACCTGGGCCTGCAGGTGAGGGGCAGCTCTGCTATTGCTGGGGCTTTCACCCCATTTTCCTAGAAAGTTGGCCGAAGCCAGGAGCACTTTCCTCCTTCGGAACCTCGCTCGGAGCACAGCCTTTCCCCTGAATCTCTGGGGCCCTGGCTGGCCCCAGTTCACATAAACCAGGGCCTGGTGTCCCCAGGGTCACTCCCGGAGCTGCCCTTCCAGGGGCTGGAGCCGCTGTGGGTCGGCTTCCTCCGAAGCCCCTTGGAGCACCTGAGAGCCAGCCAGCAAGCGGATCGGAGGTGCCTGCACTCGGGGCTGAGACTTCAGCCTGGCGCAGACAGTCAGTAACTGAGCAAAACTGGCAGCAAGCCATCTGCCAGACAGCTGGGGGCCCCGGGGAGACTCTGTGGCCTTAAGCAGGTTCATGAAATTAAAAAAAGAAATGAGAGAGGAAATTAAAACGGAATGACCCAGGGGTCAAAAAAATAGGAGACGCCCTTTTAAGGCAGAGGGACTGCATGTCCCGCCCCCAGCGGCCACGGAGGGGATCCGTCTTGCCTTCTTGGGCCATGGAAGGTGTGCTTTATTTCCCAAACACTCTGCCGCAGCCTGCAAGGCCAGCAAGTAAAGCAGAGAGGACGGAGGTTAGCCTGGTTCCCTCTGCCATTGCTGAGAATCACCTTTCATGGTTTAGAACTGCAGACGAAGCATGGCCGGCGGGGCAGCCCAGCCTGGACGGGGCAGCGAGCACGCCCATGCCCGTCAGCCTGCTGCCCAGAGAGAGCCGGGGAAATACAGTGCCATGTGAGGTGGGAATTTCTGGCAAGTCACCCTTGGCCGTAGCAGCCTCTCTCAGTCTCTCTCTCTCTCCCCCCCCATAACCCTGCTTCTGTGGGGGGCGCATAAGATAGGTGACAGCCAGTGTTTACCTGTCAGGCACCAGGGATGGTGGTTTTAGTGCAGCCACCGGCCTGCTGGCCTCTTACCAAGGTTGCATGGAGCATGCTCTCATGACCCCTGACCCTGCAGCCCAGTACGCCTCGCTCTTCTACAGGTTTAGCTAGTGACTCGCTGGTAGAGGTTTAGCACCCAGCTCTCTGCAGGGAGGCGGGAAAAGCCCTGATTGGTAACATTTGGGGATTGCTGTCATGTAAAAACTCTATGGCCAATTTCAAGCTATCAACATGTCAGTCTTCTAGCAGAATTCCTGAGAAGGTGACATCAGCTTATTGGTTTATTAATTACCCCAGCACCCCGCCGCCGGTGAGCTGTCCCATAGTGCAACTCGGCTCTCCCCCCCCCCCCCCCCCCCAGAACAGCAGAGCCTTTCCAAACCTTACTACGCAGCGTGGTCCACGACCCAGCAGCACCATCTGCACCCAGTTGCTGATCAGAAATGCGGAATCCCAGACCCCACATCGCCCCACTGGATCAGCACCCACATTTAACACGCCCTTGATGCACGTTCAGCTGTGAGAAAGTCCACGTCAAAACACGTCGAACCTCTGAGGCAGTGTTAGCTCTGGCCTCCGTGACGGCTGCTGACCACTGAGTCTAATTAGGTCACATGTGCGACTTGCCAGTCCGGCTCTACAATAACCGGCTGGACTGCTTTCTTGCTAATATCATTACCTCCCCCACCCCACCACCCCTGTTTACGCTTCCCTTGTCCCCATTCAGCAGAATTCCAAATTGAGGTCAAACTCTGCTCTCACTGCGGTTGCTGAGGGAAAATCACAGACTGGTCAGATTGCTGCCCCTGCACATGGGCCTCCCCTGTCCAGTGAGCCTGGCAGTCCGGTACGTCCCTACCGCCCGCTTCTCCTCGTCTCAGGTGGCACGCATCGTTTGCAGCAGAAACCAGTGCCTAGAACAGGGTCCAGCACTTCATGGGTCTGCAGTCACTGCTGAAGGAATGAATTCTCCATTCAGCCTAAGACCCGTGGTTGGCAAACTGCGGCTCACGAGCCACATGCAGCTCTTTGGCCCCTTGAGTGTGGCTCTTCCTAAGCCTTAGGAGTACCCTAATGAAGTTAATAACAATGTACCTACCTATATAGTTTAAGTTTAAAAATTTTGGCTATCAAAAGAAATTTCAAAAAAAAAAAAAGAAAAAGAAATTTCAATCACTGTGCTGTTGATATTTGGCTCTGTTGACTGAGTTTGCCGACCACTGGCCTAGACGTTAGCCATCCCGTGGCGGCCCCTGCTTGCTGCTGGGGCACCCAGTCTATTTTCATCCTCTTATTGACTCCCCAGGTCTCTGGTCCTCTAAGAGCTTATATATTCTTTTTAACTTTTTTTTTTTTCATAGAATTGCTAGTTATATAGTAGGACTTAATGTGCTGTTTATTTAGTGGGGTACATAGCTCAGTCCATCCCCTTGAAATCAGTCTCTTTCCTTCTTCATGGACACTATTTCGAACACTCCTCTCTCAGATCTCTTCCCCACCATCGTGTCTCTCACTCTCAGAAAATGGCTCAGTGGTGGTCGGCATTGAAGAAACCTCTTGAGTTCCTGCAGTCAGACCCTAAATGTCCCTGCAACAGCTTTCCTCTCTCCTCCTGTTTCTGCCCCGAGATCACCCAACTGCCACAGCCACTCGCTGGTTTACCTCAACGCTGTCAACCAAGTCCCTGCAGCCCAGCACCGGCCCTGTGCACACGCCCTGTGACCTTGATCTTGCTTTCCCACGCTCTCCTGGCTTGATGACTGCCTCGGGCCACTTCTCAATTCCTGCCCTGGGTTTTCCTCATCTTCGGCCTCAGTGTATTTCTCGAGGCCTCTCTTGGCCTCTTTCTTTTCCCTCCATCAGTACAGAGCATCTCCACTGCTACTGTGGCTGCTAATGCCATCTTACAAACTGATCACTTCCAAGTAAGCTCCCAGTTGGCTCTCTCTCCTGGTCGCCAGTACCATCTAGACCAGCGGTTCTCAACCCGTGGGTCGCAACCCCTTTGGGGGTCAAACGACCCTTTCACAGGGGTCGCCTAAGACCATCGGAAAACACATATATAATTACATATTTTTTGTGATTAATCACTATGCTTTAATTATGTTCAATTTGTAACAATGAAATTGGGGGTCACCACAACATGAGGAACTGTATTAAAGGGTCACGGCATTAGGAAGGTTGAGAACCACTGATCTAAACAGTCACCCTCTGACATCTCTGCATCCACAGCTTGAACTGCTCTCCCCTGCCCTGTCCTTCTCCCGGGCTCACCCACCTCATTGTGTACAAAGCCTTCGCGACCAGCCGCTGCCCTCTCTCCGACCAAGCCGAGCTCCCCGAGGGTCTCCGAGCACACGTGTCCTCCCCACCTGCCTGGCCTCTGCACATACCTCTCCCTGGGCCTGGAATGCCGGCTCCCGCAGCCCCCTCCTCTCCCTCTCACCCCCTCAAAATAGCTTGACTAATTCCTGCTTAGCAGACATTCCTTTCAAAATTGCCTTTTGTAGAAAAGTAGAATTTTTTAAATAAGCAAAACATTGACTTTTTCCAATTGTTTTGTGTCTAGGTAAAGATATAACCGAATATCCCAAAAAATTTTAATAAACACCTGGATACATATCCAGTACATTTTCTCTTTAGATGTTAACTCTTTCCATCGCTATTTAGCTACACCTTGCCTTTGCCTTCTGCTCTCTCTGCCGCCCGACAGCAAGGGCCCCACACCTCACACACAGGGCCCTGGCCAGCCGTTTAAAGTGTTCCCGGGTGTCTGTGTTGCAGGCCGCCTCCTTTTGCTGCTGTTGACTTAGGAGCTCACTAAGTCAGTTCTCAAGGTCAAGGAGGACTGTCTCTCCCCTGTGGCTGTGGCTTCCTGCAGTCCTGGGAACCCTGCTCACTCTCCTTTAGGCTTCGTCTTTTCTGTCTGCCGTCTCTTTAACACACTCTCTTCTAACCCAGAGGCAGTTAGTTCCTCGTGGGGATCACACTGTGGGCTCAACCTTTGCCTCCTACCTGCTGTCATAAATACATTTATTTCCTTACCCAGATGTAGAAAACTTTCACAAGACAATGTTATAAGCAATGCATTCTGGTACTTTCTATTTTATTTCATTTTATTGAGATGTCACAAACAGCTAACTTGATTTCACAATACGGGTACATTGATGAATCACTATCTACAGTTGGGAAACCAGTACTCGAGTTTGTTCTGCTAAATCCTCTGAGTTTCCCTCTATGGGCATTAGTTCCTCAGCAGAAAAGTCTGTGAGGTTCTTTTCGACTAAAGCTCTTCCAAAGTTTTGTCAGAAAAGTCTTTTACTTACTGAGAGGGTGTGAATTTTTTCCTCCTTAACAGTAAAAGCACGTTTTGAACATTATACGCAGTTGTTTAAGTGGTCAAGATTTCAATAAGTTGGTTAACAAATATCTGTTGATTGCCTATGTTCTGCAAAAGATAAGCTAAAAGCACGGGGTGTGTGTGTGTGTGTGTGTGTGTGTGTGTGTGTGTGTGTGTGTAGGAATTCCAGACTGTAGGAATTAAGTTCTCAACAAACGTTAGCTAGCGTTAACGGGGTTGACCAGATGCGCACGAGGTGTGTGGGCCCCTATCCCACCTCTGGACTAGCTCCTCTGATGGGCTGTGGAGCGCCTGCTTGCGCCGGCTGAGGGCCGGGACAGTTTCCTGCCAGGACACTTCCAGGGGGGCTTATCATCACCCCTTCCCATCGCAAGGTGCCACAGGACCAGGCGGCAACAATGGCAGGCATCAGGGCAGTGAATTAATTCTCTTATCTTGTACACACCCCTCCTCTCAGGCAAACACTGTCGTCCAAGCAACTTAGCCAGTCACTTAGGTCCCTGTCTCCGCTTCACCTATCGGCCCTGGAATTCTCCTTCTGCGGGGCCTTCACAGGGAACTGTCCGTGTCCCCTCTCAGTGAGCTCCTCGTGGGCCCACACATCTGTCTGTGGCTGCGGCAGGCAGGCCGACTCCCTCCGCACCGCACCGGGGTGGACGTCTCAGGAAAGTAAGACTTGGCTCCCAACCTCAAAGAGGCTAAGTGCTGAGCTGTGTTTCGGCTCCTCCTGCTCCTCTCGCCACTGCCCTCGCCACTGACTGAGCCGGGCCAAGCAGAAAGCCATTGGCCCCCTGCCCACAGCCCATGCTCCTTCCAGGACTTGGCGGCAAAAACTCGCTGGTAACAGACGCCACAGTGGCTGGGGGTGGAGAGGAGAGCGTGAGCCCCAGAGGAACATGAGCACCAGACGCAGAGCCCAGTGTCCCCTCCCGCTCCCCCCACCCCCCACCCCACCCACGGGCCACAGCACCCCGCTCGCTCGGAGCGGAAGGGAGCAGCTGCTCCTGGAGGTGGTGGGTGGCATTGTTGGTGTTGCTATTTGTGTCTCAGTTCAGTGTCCGACTGCCTGTCCCAGCTACTCTCACGGGTAGGAAAGGCCAGATTGGAGAGTCCACGCGACTCCCAGCCCCCGGCTCCTGCCACTGAGAAGAAGGTCTTGTTCTGTGTCCTTTCCCGTGGGGCTAGAAGTCCCCACCAGGAAGGGGAATCCTGTGACCTTGGGAGGCTCCTTTCCCTTCCTCGGTTCACTTTATGCTCTAGCTCCATGGGCCAGGGAAACCAGCACATCTGGTAAATGTTTACCGATTGCACCTGCGATGTCCCGGCCCCTGTACAACTGTGCGTAGCACTTTGTCCGTGTCACCCCCTCTACTTCTCTCAGCTGGAGAACAATGGCCACCTCCCCCCACGTGGCTTCTGTGCTTTGCTCCACACTGGCCACATCCACGTCCCCTGATCAGATAGATCATCACTGCTGGGGAGACACTCCTGTCTCCAGTTCACAAAAAGACACAGTGAAAGATTGGCAGTAAGATCCTCACTACCAGCTACTGGATTAAACTGAGAAATCCAGGAAGAGTTTCTAGTTCTTAAATCCCATCAGTCTCACCTGGGCAGAAGGGCACAGTAGTCATGTCCACCCTTTATTCAAAATAGGAGGGGGTCCCCAGGAGGGAGGGGGTGCTCACTCGTAGGGCCCCCCTGACCATTTCCCTGCTCACAGGTGCCCAGGCACACATATTGCAGCCCAGGCTCCTTTCAAATCCCTCACAGGCCGTCCTCGCCCACCCGACCTCCCACTTCCCCGTCCACAAGAACCCTTACTCACATTTCCCCACCACCACCTTCACGCAGACATCCTCACCTGTCAGCGTGGCCCCATCACCCCAGCGCCCGCCCTGCTCACCTGGCTCTGCTGAAGTGCCTGCTCCCGCCCCCTCTGCTCAGTCACCTGCTTAGACCAAGCTCAAACCTCAGCAGCTATGGGAAGCTTTCTCTGGCCATGCAGCCACATGCTCTCTCGGTCTTCGCTGAGCTTCTGCACCACCTCCTGTGGACACTTAGCCCCGGGCAATAGCAGTGTCTCTCTCTCTCTCTCTCTCTCTCTCTCTCTCTCTCTCTCTCTCTCTCTCTCTCTCTCTCCCTCTCCCTCTCTCATTCTCCTCTGCACATCTTGTAGTTGCCCAAAGTCTACTTTGAACTCTTTAACCAAAACATGCTGCTTTCTGTCCACAAGGAGCATGTGCCCCTGTGACTTCATTGGTGCCTTCAGAGTCCCCTTTCCAGGGGTTGCCCCAACCCAGAAGCAGGGATTCCTGTAGAAAATGTCTAGGCCTGGACACAAGGGTGGGGAGGGCCGGTGGGACCCCGAGATAAGGGCCCTCCTCCGGAGACATTAAGGCAGGTAAATGGTTAACAAAGGGAGGATTTCTCTCTGATCTCCTCCTCTGCCAGGGAATTCACCTTTACCCACTGACCTTTCTGTGAGGGTGAGATCTGAACAAAGTTGCGCACAGTCATGGATGGGTAAATACCCATCATTCATGTGTGCCCCTGCCTCTGCCCCCTGTCTCCTCAGAGACGGTCTGAGGTATGTGGACCACCCCCTAGATTGGATGGCTGGTAGCAGAGGAAAGACACACATATGCACAGAAAATGAAAGTTGGGCACGACCCTCTGACCCCTTAGGAATCCAGGGCCTCAGCTTTAAAGCAAGGAGAACGGTGCACAGAGGAGGCCAAGCCATGCCAGTCCGGTCGAATCGAACAGGAGGCATTTCCGAGCATGCATAGCAGATCTTGGGCGATGTCTTCCCGTCCACTCTCTTTCTATCCCAGCCCTGCCCCAGGGACCTGCAGGCCCCTGCAGTAGACATCTATACATTTACTGGCAGAGTCCCCCGGCCCCAGGCTTCTCCCACCTCCCGTGACCCCCCCACATCTGTTTTATTTTGTGTAGCTCGATAGCTTGCGATTCCACCCCTCCGAGGGCTTAATCGAGTTTGGGGAGAACCGACATCCAGTTGCTTCATTTGTTTGGGATGACTTTTTCCATTCCGGGCCCCTGTGCTCACGTGACTGGCACGGCCCATCCTCTCTGGCCTCCCAGGGCCGGAGTCACATCTCCACTTGGATGGGTGTGGCTGGCACAGGCCTGGGGCAGTGGGGGAAGCTAAGCCTACCAGCGCCCCCGCCTCCATCTGGGCAGGGGCTGGCACTCGGAAGGCGTGGAGAGTCTTTGGTTTCATACTTTATTCATCCCATGAGCCACTAGGAGCTGAGCTGCCTAGGAGCGTACGGTTCGCGCATTTGAGCGCATCTCCATGAGCCTCCTCTCAGCAGCCCAGCCACTCAGCCCCTCTGAACTTCAGGCCTGGCTTCTACACCCAAGAGGGGGGAGAAAACCTGAGGGGCTGCCCAAATGCTGGCTCTGCCTCCACACCCTCGCTGCTCCCCGCGCTGTGCGGCAGGCGGGACTGTGGGCACGCGGGAGGCAGGCGTGGGAGGAGGAGGGGAATGAGGGAGGGATGACAGCAGTTGAACCCGGTGAGAATGTGTGGACCCCTCCATGCGCTGTGCCTTGGGACAGACCACGAACACCCCCTGCCAAGCTCTCAGTGGTCAAACCAGATTCTGATGCCCCCCCCCCCACCACCACCACCACCACCTTCGGTCTTGGCGCTTGCTGCTCTCTTAAAGGTCCGATATTTAAAGAAATATTTTATTTCCAATACAGACACAGCCCTTGATGTAGCAGTAAAAACCAGCACCCCTGAGAGGCACATGGCTGTGAAGTGTGTTGGTATGTAACTTCCTGTCTTTGCCCACGTGCAAGCCTTCGTCCCACTGCTCCTTCTGTCCCTGGAGAGGTGCCTCCCCGACCCCGGTGCTCAGGCGTCAGGAGGCCTTGGCGTGAGGGCGAGAGGTCAGCTCAGGCAGGAGACACCGTCCGGCGATGGGGCTGACGGGCGTGGGGTGGGAAGCGTCGCTGGGCCTCACCCAACAAGAGTTGCTTTGAGGATCTCGCTCCCCACCCCCCACTTTGGAGATGGAAGTCAAATTTTTGGATTCTGCTGTGCAGAGCAGAGAGGTCACTGGGCTCTAATGCATTTACCATTGACTGCCCCTCTTGTAGTGCGTCTATTAGTGAGTAATTTGATTTGTACCTATTCATTTGCAGTCCCTGCAGGAGCCTGGAGCTGGCCCCTCGTATAATTGGTGCTGTCTCTATTTTTACATCATTAGATTAGCCCCGACTCCTGGCCACTTGTTGTCTGCGCTTGTCTGTCCATTTATACAACCTAATGTAACACAAAATTCATTACTGATCACATTACTTTCAACTCTGAAGCCAGCCTTGTGATAAACATTTGGTTAACCCCTTCCTGCCCGCGGGAGGGCTGCGGAGCAAATGCACTTCCACTCGGCAGGCGAATCAATATCTTAATACACCAAAGTGGAATTGCATTTCTAGATTTGTTATTCCTCCTGGAGGAGCAAATGGAAGGGCGCTCGGAGCGAGTGGAGCTGAATAATGAATAGGGCCCCGGCACCGGCAGCCAGTCTGCCCAGGAGCACAAAGGCTCCGCCGGCATCCGCCCGCGAGCTCATCGGGCCGGCGGCACCACGGCCATTACCTGGGGCCTGTGCTTCTCTGCCCAACACAGAACGTGGGTTCGAGGGCACAGGCTGGGACCCCAACGTGGGCAACAGAGACCTTCCCCCCTCAAACTGCCTCCCCACCACCACCACACCATTCTCTTTGCTAGACTTGGCCTAGGATGACTGGACCAGGAACTGGGTTTGTTTCCTTAAAACCTGCTTTACTGGTATGAAGGTACCACACACGTGGGCCTGGCACTAATGCCACCATAAATCAAATCCACAACTAAGCTAGCGTCTGCCCTTTGGAACCAAAGCACCAAGTGCTTTCTGTGGAGAGGAGGATCGGCGATGTCAGAGCTGGTGGGTTCACACCTACCGTGTGTGTGCCTGCTCTCCGCCCTGGCTCTGTGGGAGGGAGGCCCTGGAGCTGGCCTGGCTTCTTAAAGGGACCCCCGCAGAGCTCTGTTGAGGCTAGAAGATTCTCCCCTACCCCCACCCTGGCCATCCCTCCCCAGCCCCCATTTGTCTCTGGGTAGCATCCACACCCACTCTAAGTCATTAACTCTCAGGACAGTTTGTTTCCAAAGGAAAAATATCCCGACTTATTAAGAAACTCTCATAAAGCCTGTACTACAGTAATTAGAAAAGTAGGCGTAGAGGAAGTAGAATGGAACCCATTACTATGAAAGTCATAAATCCTGGAGTAAAAAGAAGCCGTAAACAAGATACTCAGCCGGGAGTGGGAGCTGGAAAGAGCAGCCCGTCTAGGGGCCGTTCTGTTGAGTGGGGCTCTGGCCGCCTCCTGCTGGGACTGCCCCATGGTCCCTGCTGCCCGGTCCCTGGTTCAGAGCCCAACAGGGGTGGAGGGGGCGGGGGGGGCTGCAAGGTGAGATGGCAGAGGTTGGGGGGTGGGCTCGCCCCGCCCTGACTGTGGGAAGCTGCATTTCTCAGGAGGGGCTTCAGAGACTCCAGAATTAGAACCACGTGCTTCCTATTGTGAGGAAGGACAACAGGGCATCTTGGCGGGGTGTGCTCGGTGCCCCATCCAGGCAGTGGGAGGAGGACACTGGGGTGTCACCAAGGGGAGCCCGTGCACGAACTTGCTCCGTGCTGAGCCTGCAGTGGTGGCCTCAGCTGTCAATCCTCTCAGGTGGGTCAGTGGGACAGTGGGACTGCATCTCCCCTGGGCCCCAGCCATCAGCTCTAGAAAACAGAGCAGAGTGCGGCCGTGGCCTTTGCCGAGGAGGACAGACGGGTGACAGGGAGGCTGGTGGAATGAGAGGCTTTGATTTCTTAACCTTGATGGAAAGTGGGGAAAGCCACATCTTACCAAACTCTTCCGCTGCGTCGCAGAGAATGTAATTACGTTCGGACATTCGAATGAGAACCAGATGTGCGCTGGCCCGTGGGGCGCAGCGTCTCCTGCGGTCTGCAGGCCCCTGTGCCTGTCTCGCAGCCTCGCAGCCCTCAGGCAGCTCGGCAAGACCCACCTGGGAGCTGGGTGGGGTCGTCGGAGCTTCGAGGCTGGACTTGGGAAATGGGAGGGGCAGGGCCAGCTGCCAGACACCTGGTTCCACGGGACAGTTTCCAAGCCCTGTCTCTTCTTAGCCATGCTGAGTGGGCATGTTGGTGGGGCCTCGCCGGCACCCACCCCACCCACATGCAGACACACACACAGAAGTCATGCCGCAGCACCTGGCCGGGCATTTTCTCTCACCAAACACAGTGCCAGGCTGCCCAGCTTTGCATCTGCCTCAGAGGGGCATGTGGTGCCAAGGACCTGGAGCTGGGAAGGGCATTCAGGCCTCCTGGGTGGGGGGCACTCCCCTGGGGGCCTCAGCTGCCGACACACCAGAGATGGCAAAGCTCACCTTGTAACCGGGACGCCCCGACCACCAGAGTGGTCTCTACACGTGTGCCCTGCGTGTTCTGCTTCTTAAAGCCCCTTCACATCTTCTTCTCCCCAGAGCCCCACACGCCAGGCTGCCCCCGCCCCCTCCCGCCTGACCAATGAGGAAGCAGATGAGAAGTGAAGTGACAGGCCCAGGTCATTCAGCACCGCTGTCTGCGCCCAACGGGGGCTCCAGTGAATCCCCTGCCTCCCGCCAAGGCCCTTCCCCTTCTGGCTGCTCCTGCATCCATCTCAGCGGTTCTCAACCTGTGGGTCGTGACCCCTTTGGCGGTCGAACGACCTTTTCACAGGGGTCGCCTAAGACCATCCTGCATCTCAGATATTTACATTACGATTCATAACAGTAGCAACATTACAGTGATGAAGTAGCAACGAAAATAATTCTATGGTTGGGTCACAGCATGAGGAACTGTATTTAAAGGGCCAGAAGGTTGAGAACCACTGATCTGGCTGATCTTAAGCATGGCTTCAGCCAGACTTATCAAATGCCTCAAACCCAGGGAAACGCCAGCCAGGCCTGTGCAGCCTCTGCTCTCCCGCACGTAATGTGCTGTGACAGGGCGCACTCTGTCTTGGTCAGGACACGGAGTCATCCTGAGAGAGGGGCCCCGGGAGGTCACTGCACAGGCTGCTGGTCCCGGCTGTCCGGTGGGTGATCCTGTCCCTTCTCCTCTGAAGCCAGGGCTGGGAGGACCTGAGTAACCTGGGTCTCCTGGGAGTGGGGGTGGCGGCATTTCTGTGCGAGTCTTTCCCTGCCGGGGACGGGTGTCACTTCGTAGCTGTTGTAGGAGGGACCTGGGAAACGCCTTCAGCTCCTAACGAGGCCAGTGTCCCCTCCCACTGATGCCCTACCTGTGGGCATTGCCTATCAGTTGGTCAAAGGCTATGCAGGAATTGAGCTGGACTGTGAGTTGCTCTGCTCCTACCCCCAACACACACACACACACACACACACACACACATACACACACACACACAGCCAGGTCCAGTGGAAGACAGGTGGGGGCCAGGGCAGGCCATGTGGTCTTGGCTTCATTCTGTGACGTTCTGGGTCCCCGTGCCTGTGGGGGTCAGGAACAAGAGCTGGGCAAGGAGGAAAGAAAGCATGTTTGTGGGAGCCCTGTGGGTCGAAAGAGGCTCCGGCCGGCAGGAAGGGGCGTGCCCACAGCACTGAGGCCAGGCTGCGTGCGGGGAGAAGCGGGTGGCGTCGGCCGGCCTGGGCTCTGTGCTTAGACAGAGGTGTTAAGCCCAGAGATAACCAGGCCAGAGTGGCCCTGCTTCTCATCTACTCCCAGGTCCCACCAGCCCCACAGGGGATCCCTGTTATCTGAATGTGGAGGAGCCTCTTCATCCTCAGCCCCTCAGCTGCGGGAAGCTGCCCTCCTACATCCCCCAAGCCTGCCTGGGAAGCGGGCAGGAGCCCTGCTGCAGGGACAGGAGGTCCTTGGAGGACCAGCCCCCATCCTCTGAGCCCTCCGTGCAGCTGGAGGTGACCCTGCAGGGGGAGCGTAGAGAGGGGTGGGGTGGGGTGTCTGAGAGAAGAAGAGCAAGGCCTCCCCACAGGCTGTCTCCTTTAACTGCTGCCCTTTTAACCTCCTGAAAAGGGCCCTGGGGCTGAGGTTGGCTCCCACCCAGAGTGTGGTCTCTGACAGGGCTGTCAGCGTTTCTAGAAGCATTCTCAGCCAACTCCTTCTGTCTCCCTGCACCCACCTCTGCCTCCCTCAGCCACACTGAGGAGGGAGTGGCAGTCCCCAGGCCAGGACTGTGTCCACCTCCTAGTTGGCCCCTGGGCCATCTTTCCGGGGTAGGCACCAGGAAGCTGCCTGTTTTGCTGAGCCCGGCAGGATGCATTCCAGCCCAGCCGCCATGGCTTCTCTCCGCAGCCCCCGTTTGCACAGCGGGTCCCAGGCCCTGTTGGCAGGCCCCTTGCAAACCAGTCCTTGCTTGGGGCAGACCCCATCTGGATCCATTTGCTGAGCTTGCAGCAGTCCTGTGATCCCCTGGTCTCCTTTCCATAGAGCCCAGCCAGGGAAGATGCTGAAAATCCCTAACCTCCCCACCCTCACCCCACCCCACTCCCTGGCCAAGAAGCCTCACAGCAGAAGGGGATTGGAACTGTTTCTGTGTGCAAACCTTCCCTGAGCCAGACACTGGGGAACATGGAGCAGTTCAGCTGGCTGCTCTGGGCCCCGGGGACACCCGCTCCCCTGGGCTACCACTGAGCCCGGCCCAAGCCAGGGGTTTAACCACAGACTCTGCCGACGGGGGAAGACTAGGAGGTGGACGCAGGAGGGAAAAATCGATGCACGTCAACAGGGTTGGAAATTTATTTTCCAGCTTGGAACAGGGTGTTTACAAAAAGGCAAGGAGGGAAACAGAAAGCTATAAACACATATCTGCCATCTTCCTCCGCGGGCCATTTCTTGATTAAAAGGAATCTTTCGCAAGGTCCAGTGGAGGGCAGGTTGGTGGGGGGCTGGATGGCAGAGACACCTGCTGGGGAAGAAGGGGGAGCGGGACCCTGGGGTCTCCTGGGTCACCGCAATCACTGGTACAATTGCAACAGGCCTAGAACTCACGTTTGCTGGCTGGAAGCTGTGCTTTGGGGTGCGGTCTGCATGCGTTATTTCATTTGCGTCTTACCGCCGCTCGAGAAAACAGACCTGCGTGTCCTCACGTGCGGGAAACTGAGGCACAGAGATGTGGAGGGACCTGCTGCAGGTCTCCCGGGTGGCAGGGGCTGAGCTTGTGCTTTTATCCCCTTTGCTAAACTGCCTCCCTAACCCGGGCCGCCCCCACCCTCCCCCCTTCTCAGGCCCTTGGAGAGGCAGCATTCTCCCTTCGCGCTGCCGAAAGTGGGCAGGCTGTGGGTGCAGGGTAAGGCTGGCCCCGACGTCTAACCCGACTCCCGCCAGGCCACTTGGGTGGTTAGCTGGGGACAGGGGTGTGTGGCTGCCGCCAGGGCCCAATAAAAGTGCTCTGCTAATCCCGTTAATGAGCAACACGGGGAGGCTCTAGTGCACAGAGCAGGCTGGCTGGGGCCGCGGAGCACACCAGAGGGAAGCGCCAGGGCGGCCTGGGCTGAGCCGGGCGTCCCAGGGACCCTCTTCCCGAACACACACACAGCATTGCCCTCACGGACCCCGCCAGGTCCCAGAAACAGGCCTCCACCATGCCCCTGACCACCAGAAGCCAGAGGGGCTGACCTCAGGGTCTCTGGCCATCTGTCCCCACTGCCCTCTGGCCTGGAGGTCAAGCCCGAAGTCCGAATTCACTTCTGAGCCTCCCCGGGGGTGTCCTGCCCACTGGGGCACCCAGCTCTCTGCCAGGCTCAGTAGCCCCTGTATCCCAGCGTTCCGCCCCCTCCCAGGGAACTGGGGAACCGAGATGTTGGTGCTTATGAGGTGACTGACTCATGAAGAGGCCTCCATCAGTCTGTCCCCAGAAGCCCTTGCCTTGCAGGTGCAGGGTGGCCTCGAGGGAGGGCAGGGTCTGTGCCCAGGGGAGAGGACAACCCCAGGGAGAACCTCAAGGGAAGCAGACGGGGACCAGCACTGCCCACCAGCACCCCGGGAGCCGGTTCTGTTGCTCCTGCCTTAGCAAAGGGGCCGCAGTGCCGCTGGGGGTGCAGGGAGAGGAGTGATGGTGAGGGAGCAGCCCAGCCCAGGAGTGGGGTGACCTTGCGCTCCCACGTCCTCCACCAGACTGAGAGCTACTCCTCCCTGGGTCGGCCTTGGCGTCTGTGCCCCAGTCACCAGGGCTGCTTCTCCCTAACGAGGTCAGCGCCCTCTCTGACACCTCTGAGCTTTGCCAGGCTCCGCATGTGGGCAGCATGAGGATCGAACTTTCTCATTCCTCTGCTTATTTCATGGGCACCAAGGCTCCTCCTTGACAGGTGCTCCTTCCACTCTCCCCCTATCCCTGCGGCTGGCCCATCCTGGCCCGTGGCATAGCAGGCCCATTGCCAATAAGAGCCAGCGGGGAATGGGGAGCCAGTCTGAGTGATGCCGGGAGGGTCGCATCTCCACCTCGGAATCTGCGGTTCTCTCATGGGATTGCGCACCCAGAGGTGACTTCCTACTCTTGCTTAGAGTTGCCGCAAGATGGGGAGACAGCACCCACCTCCCAGGTGCACAGAGCTCCTGGAGGATGTGCGGCCACAGTAAGATGATCTGTCGGCGTCAGCCACGCACCTCGGAGCTGCTCCTCGTCCCAGACTTGCTCCGAGGCCTGCAGAGCGGCCTCTTTCAGAGCTGCTTCCACTATGGGGGTGGTGTTCGGGGAGGCTCCCTCAGTTCCCCCCCAGAGCCCCGCTCGCTCCTGCAGCCCTGGCAGGTTTCTGGTGGGCTTTCTCCACAAGCCCAGCTCAGCTGCAGGACAGCTGCCTGACCTGGGGGTCTTGGGAGTGAGGGAGGCTGGGGGCGGGGGGGAGGGGGGGCGTGCAGTCGAAGCTGGGCCACCGAGTCAACACGTTGGAAGTCCTCTCTGAAAACCCTGCAGCCTGTCTCCTCTCCCTCTCCTGGCAGCCCACCTGCATGGGGCGCCGTCTGTCGGCACTGCATGGGCCAGGGCCCTTCCCCTCCCCACGCAGCCCCTCGTGCTCCGTGTGCGGCTCCTCTCCCCCACTCCCACGCTGAAGGGAGTCTTGGCTCTGTCACAACAGTTCCATCCCTGAGACCCCGTCTGATTGGTCCCCAGCCCCCGACACATGCATGTCACCGTCCTCGGCTGCAGGATTCCGCCGCAGCTTACCCTCCTCCCAGCGTGACACCCACACCTCCGTCCGCACCTCCGAACACCCTCTCTCCTGCTTGCAGAGACCCGTGTACTTCTTAATCGTTGTCCATATCTTTCCCCCAAAAGATTCCTCAATGCTTTTCTTTTCACAAGGGAAAAAAAAAGGAAAAAAAAAACAATGCCAACAGCCCAGCGTCCGTGAGCAACCCAACAGTAACAAAGCATGTGTTCGGGATGGAGGAAGGTAAGGCCACGCGTTTCCATTTGCCGCTTGCTGCTAGGGCTGGGCGGCCGGGATGACTCGAGAGGGGCGGGGGGAGGGCGTGTGTGCACCCCTCCTCCACTCCCACACGCGCTCACTGCTCTGTGTTGGGGGTTAAAGGCGGCACGTAGGAAAGAGGCCAGGACCGGCCAAACCCACCAGACCCTGGTTCTTTCACCAACAGTCACGCTGAAAAAACCCTCTCCCCTTACAACATCACTCATTCACCCCAGAAATGCCTGCTGCACACCAGCTATTTTCTAGGCCTGGTGGTTGGCACAAGGGATACAGAGATAAGGCACAGCACAGGCCCTGGGGGCTCGCCACCTGGATGGGGACACACCTGAGCAGATGTGCGCGGTGCAGCGCGGCCTGGCCAGCTGTGCCAGGGCAGCAGGACGGGCTCACAGGGCAGTGGACACTGTGCTCAGCTTTGGAGGATGAGCGGGTGGTCTGGGGGCTGAGGGAGCCTGGAGAGCTCTAAGAACTTCTCAAGTTCGTTCCTTCATTTCCTCAATTTAGTACCATTAGTGAGGTGAGGCCTGGGGCAGGCCATGAGGGCCATCTATAGAGCTGCGGAGTTTAGGCCTTATCCTGGGTACCGTTAGGAGTCGACGGTTTCTAAGCAGAGGAAGAGCAGGATGAGGTTTGTGCTGTAGGCGGACTCTGGCTTTGGTGTGCTGGCGGGTGGAGAGGGGGGTCTAGAGGTCAGGAGGTCAAAGGGGAAGGTCTCCAGGTGGGAAGTGCAGGCCTCACCAGGCACTGGCAGTGGAGATGGAGAGGAAGGGCGAGGCTGGTCTCCCTGGGACATGGGGCGAGGGAGAAGCCTGCCCACTCCCATCGTGCCCAGGCCTAACTGGTGAAGAGACCACCTGAGCCAGGCAGCTCAGGCTACACCCGGGCTCCAGGAGCACTGCCCCTGCACTGTCACACGGCGGGACGAGGTGCGTCTGCTGGGACTCACTGGGACTCGCGGGGTGGGGTCCCCGAGGCTGCAGGTGGGGGCGCTGTGGGCCTGTGCCAAGGGGCCCTGGGGGGGCCGCGCTTGGGCCCGGGCGCCGGCTCCTCGGCTTCCTTGGCAGTGCAGAGGTGTCAGCACTTCGCATCGAGAGCGTGGGGCCTGTCCCCCAGCTCTGGAAAGGGGCCCACCTTCCCTGTCCTTGTGGCCTTTCCTGCTCCTTCATCTGGGGCTTTCTTCCTTGGGCCTGGTGTCCAGACCCTAAGGAAGCCCCTGCTTTTCTTGCTACTGACTGCCAGTGCTCCCTCCTGCCCTCCTGGCCCTGCTGTCAGCGCCCCCTAGTGCCGGGATGGCTGTGCATGAGGGCAAGGGCCTCTGGAATCAAATGGGGGCCTCAGAGATCTCTCACCAGCTCCTCCGCTTGCTTGTGGGAAAGCAGGGGATGGAGTGCGCTTTCTTGGAGTCCAAAGCTTCCATATAGAAGCCCCAGGGTCTATTCTCTGCTTTCCCGTCCTCACCCTCTCTTGGCACAATGACCTGTACTCCCCAATAGGGTGAGACCGAAGAAGGGGCAAGGAAGAAGAGAGCCCACAGAGTAACCATGTTTTCCGTCCAGGTCTGGATAGCTCTTACTCATCCCAGGAGTGGGCCCACCAGGGCAGCCAGTGTCTCTTGGAGATCAGGGACCATCGTCAGGCCCACTGCCTGTACCCACACTCCCCTCCTCTCACGCCCCCGTCTGCTGAGAGGGTCTGGTGTCCGGCCACACCCTTCCAGATGTGGCTGGTGCAACCTGAAGGCCCCTCACAGCTGGGCCCAGGTGCCTGCTCTGAAGGAGGGCACACAGACTCCCCCACCCCACCCTGCGGCTGCTGCTACTGAGCAGCCTCAGTGCTTTCAGGGTAGCCTGCAGCGAGTGGGGATCAGTGGTTAGTTCCTGGATGGCTGGTAATGGCCAGCCCAGGAGTAAAGGCCATGACCCATTCCTAACCAAAGCCAGCTGTGCTGCATGTGTGTGGCGGCGGGGGGCTGGGAGCGGGCGCAGGCTGGAGATAAAGGTCTCACGCCAGCCGGGACAAGTGGGACAGTCGAACATACCTTGCTGTTTCAAATGACTGTGTTGCAGTCCTGAGCTCCCGGGGCTCCCTCAGTCCAAGACAGGTGTCCCTTGGAGAAGGAAAGGTCACAGGTCACCACAGCTCTCAGAGTCCAACCCGGGATGTGTGTGACCACATCTCAGAGTCCACTGAGGGACTGAAAGGGAATAGGAACCGGCCACTTTCAAAAAGCCACCCAGCAACTCCTCTTTCCTCGCATTCAGCACCCAAGGAAGTCTGTTCACAGCCCACTACCCCGGTACCGGTCTTGGGTCAAGAGATGGTTGGGCAGTAAGGTGCCCACTGCTGATGAGGTGCAAGATGGCAGCATGACTGTGCCAGGCGGGGCCAGGAAGAGGAGGGGGCGGAGCCACCCTGCCTGCCTCCCAGGTCGACTCTGAGCATGGACATTGGGGGCAGGGAGACTCAGGAGACCTGGGGTCTAAGAAGAAGAAAGAAATCCTTTCTCCACTGGACTAGGCCCCTCTCAAACCAGGCTTTCCCTCCTGCCAAAGACGAACCAGGGCCTGGCCAGCAGGCAGATTGCGTGGGCGAGAATGAATGAGCGAGTGGCTGAGCCAGGGTGGGAGCTCTGGGCAGGGAAGGAGAGGTAGGGACAGACCAGTCGGGGAAGCCGCAGTAACCCTGTCCTGGCTTCTCCCCTCCTGCCTGACCTGTAGATCCAGGACAGGAGCCAGTCTTGGAGTCGGGGGAGCATGCAGGCTGTGCATGAGTGTGTGTGCCGGCGTGGGCACACGTCCGCGGTGTGGTCCAGACCAATCGTCAGGGTGGTCGTACTTCTGGCCTAAAGGGGTCCCACAAGGGAACAACTGGAACCCACCAGCCAAGGGAGCTGAGCCTCCCTCCTCCGCGGAGCCTCCCTGTGACCCGAGCTGCCACCTGTCCATCTGGGGAGCATGCGGGGATCCCCTGCAGAAGGATGGAAATGGACCCAGCTGGGCGCCTCCAGACAAGCAGCCCAGCCCCGAGTGAGCCCGACCCCATCCCCAGACCGCACTGACCGGGCCTGGCCCTCTCCTTGTCTTGCAGAACTTCAGCGAGAGGGAAGCATCGAGACTCTGAGTAACAGCTCGGGTTCTACCAGCGGCAGCATCCCAAGAAACTTTGATGGCTACCGATCTCCGCTGCCCACCAATGAGAGCCAGCCCCTCAGCCTCTTCCCTACCAGCTTCTCCTAGGTACCAGCTACCTGCTTCCGACTGGCCGGCCCACTCACCTACTGGAGGAAGGAGAAGCCCCCCTCGGACTCTCCCCTTCAGTCTCTGCTCCTCTTTCACCAACCACCTTCCCCAAGCTTAGTGACAACAGCCCCCTCCCCACCCCACCCCGAGGCCGATGGAGAAGAGACCCCTATCCAAACCACCTCCGTGCCCTCTGACCCCGTCAGCAGGGCTGTGGCCGAAAGAGACTGCAGAAGCGCCGCCCCCTCCTGTTTGCACATGATGTCCGGCATTGGATCCGCTTTTGTATTTTCTAACCCGGGGTGGGGGGAGCGGGGGGCCTGGGTGGGGAGAGGATGTACGGCCTGGCCAGGCATTTCGACCCTGACCGCCAGCCCCAGCCCGCTCCTGGCTGTGGCTTACACTGCCCAGCTTCCCTTGGTCAACTTCCCTCTGGAATGGGGTGAATGGAGGCCCAGAGTATCAGGGAAGGAGAAAGGAAGGAGAAGCCCTCCTCCTCTTCCCTTTGGCTCATGGGAAGGATTTGTCTTTCTTGTCTATAAGCCCTTTTACACTGGTCCTGAACTGTTCGGTGAAGGAAACGGTGGTTCCTGAGACCCTGTCAAAAGTGCACGTCTTTCCAATAAATCATGCTGCAACTGGTGTCCACCCGAGCTGCTGGGGGCAGGGTCCTCGCCAAGCGCCAAGCAGAGTCCCAGGCCTGACCCTGTGTCCCTGCTCCCAACACCCCTGGCCTGACATGTGCATGGAGGGAATAGGGAGGAGAATAGAATTTGGGTGGGGCCTGATTTAAATCCATTCTCCAACCTTCCTTCCTGTTAGCAGAACCAGTGAGTTCTGGGGCCATCACAGGCCTGACACTCCCTGTCTGTGGTAGGAGCAGGGGGAGCAAAAAGGGGTGCTAAGCAGAAAGGATAATACTAGCCCTAGTCCCCACTTCTCTAGACCCCAGAGAGGCCTGGGAGGATCGAAGGAAACCTAATGAGCCGGTGTGGTTTGGGGTGAAGTTTAACGTAATAGCCACAATCAGGCCTTCCCATCCAACTCCTGGAGCCCCTGCCCCCTTCACAGGCACCCTCTCCAGCCCTAGCACCCAAGAAGAGATCAGTTGGGCATGTTAGGAGAAGGAGGACCTGAATCACACTAGGTTCTGGAAGCTGAGTACTTGGCCCCACATAGGGTGGCTGGAGCCAGTCCCTTCTGCCTGGGAACCTGCAGGGTGAGAAATCACATGGCAGAGGAAGCATAGGGCAGGTCAGGGGCCTGGGCACAGCCAGCGGGGGCTGCCGAAGGGGCAGCAGCTTTTCCCCGTTTTGAGACATTGATGTGTTGGGCACAGCCTCCACCCAGAGCCAGAACAGTGTTTCAGTTAACAGGGTGTTGGGGGAGGGCTGCCACGAGGCTACCTGTGTATTCTATCCCTGGGCCCTGGGCGGGAGGGGGAGGGGGGAGTCCAGAGCTCTAGGAAGGGTGAGCCCCTGAGAACCCACCCTATGGATGGGGCCAAGATGGAGAGCCAGGAGCGCTCTCCAAGGGAACTTGGAGTCAGGAGTCCTCCCTGGCTCAGCCCTTTCCCTCCACGGGGTGCAAAGCAGCTGTGGCCTCCTCCAGTCAGGGAAAGTGGTGGGTGTAGGGCTGGACTTGCCGGCTGAGCTTGCAGGACAATCTGGTTATTCATCTGCTCACAGCCAGGGCAACTCTTTGAGTATGTGGGGGGAGGGGGAGGATAAGAGAGGCCAGATAAGCTGGCCCCATGGCGGCTGCCACTGGAGCTCAGGTTATCAGAGAGGCCTTGGGCCTGGCCCCTGACTAATTGGGGAGGTTATGGACCCTGCCACAGCCTGTAATCAGCTGGAAGTGAGAGCTGGGCTCCAGGGTGGGGGACCTTACTGCCCATGGCCATGGAACAGCAGCCTCCTCGTCTCTGGAGAGAACACCTAAGGCAACCTCTGCCTCAGCCCCAGCAGACCTCCAGGTGGCATTACCTAGGAGGCAATCAGAACATGCATCTCATTGTGGCCTGACCCCGTGACCTTGAGGAAGCCACGTGACCTCCCTGATTCTCACAGCACTACCTGCTCAACGGACAAATTACTATGGATGTTCTCTCAGTGTGATGGAGGAAAAAATACCTTCCTGGCCTTTGAGGAGGCTGGTGGGAGCTGGGGGGCAGCTCAAGGAGAGAGGGCACTGTCTGGGATTGATCTGAGAAAGAGCCAGGGTCCTGAGGCAACGTGGGGTGCACATGGCGATCTGTCAAACACGACTGCCAGCTCCCCAGGAAGCAAGTGGAGGCAGGCAGCTGCCGTCTGGGACTGGAAATGGCTTCTCGGTGCCGACTTTTCTGATTTTCACAGCTCAGAGACTCTCTAACTAGAAGGTACCTACAAGAGCACTATTTGGTCCTCATTTTGCAAGGACGCCTAAGCCCCAGAGAAGGCCAGGGCTTGCCCAAGGTCACCAAGTCACACAGCTAACCTGCTGGTGCCTATCTGCTCCTTGCTGCCTCACATGAGGGCCCCATTCTGAGCTGACCTGTGCCCCCACAAGATCCAAGACTCTGAGTCTCATCACCCCCATCCGCCTAGCCCCAAGAGCTTCCAGCTCCTCGGCCGAGGATATGTTTATTGATTTTGGAGAGAGGAGAGAAACATCAGTTGCCTCCTGTACAAGCCCCCTCCCTCTGCTCCGCAAAACCTAAACCAACCTTTCGGTGTGCAGGAGGGTACTCCAACCAACCGAGCCACCCGGGCAGGGCCAGGGCCCTGGCCCTGACGGACTTTGGAGCTGCTCTTTGTCCTGGTGTGATAGGGAAGGCAGCCTCCTTCCTGCCGATTTAGAGCTGGAAACTCCAGGGCAAAGAGGAGAACATTCTTGTATGTCTGGTCTTTAAAGCAAGAACCCAGCCTGAGGGTGGCGCCCTGGAGTCTCAGTACTGCCTTCGGGTATGAGCAGGAGTAGCTACCGGGACAGCAGTGATACCAGCACCGAGGAAGTGAATTCCAGCCTAGCTTGTTGTTGCTGTTAATCCTCACTTGAGGGTATTTCCATTGATTTTTTAGAGGGAGTGCAAGGGAAGGGGAGAGACAGAGAACCGCATCGATTGGCTGCCTCCCATAGGGCCCCCCCACCACCACCAGGGCCTGGGATTGAGCCTGCAATCTAGGTAGGTGCCCTGGAAGGGAATCAAACGCAGGACCCTTCAGTCCGGGGGCTCTATGCACCGAGCCAAACTAGCTGGGGCCAACCTCACTCTCCTTTAAGCTCCCAGGGTCTCCCACTGGTAGCTGTGTGGCCTCAGGTAAATTACTGCTCCGCTGGGCTTCAGGGTTTTCATCTGTGAAGGAGGGGGAGGGGGAGGGGGAGCTCCTATCAGCTCCTATCCCTGCTGATAGGAGCAAGGAGGCCAAAGCAGGCAAAGAGGAAACTGTAGGTCAAAAAGGCTAAAGGGTGTTTCGAGGCCCCGGAGGCCAATGGGAGGGACAGGCCAGGTACTCTTCAGCGGGAGCGGGAGGGCGGATGCGGCGCCGTGGCAGCCAACATTGCGGTGCGCTGCCCAGGGAATCCAGGCCCCCAGCTCCCAGCGAAAGCATTTCCAAAAGCGAATCAAGAGCCTGGTGAGGAGCTCGCAGCGCAGACCAGCCCGCCCTCTCTCCGGGCAGGTGGGCTGGTCCTAGGGTCCTCCCTGCGCTGCGCCCCCTTTCTCCAGCCACGAAGCAGCGTGGCCTGCTCACGCTGCCGCGGTCCGGGACACCCGGACCCGACACCCGGACACGTGACCACGCCCATGCACGTGCAGCTTCACAGAGGTGCACCTCACTGTTGCCGACTCCCGACATCTGGGACCCACGGGCCTCAACCCCAGAGCAGCGAATGGTCTGGAGCTCCCAGGGGTAGGGGATCCCCAACACTCCGAGGCTTCAGATCCCCAAAGTGCCGCAGGGACATGTCCTCGGTGGCCAGCTCAGGTGCAGAACGACACCCCTCGAGGGCCAGGTCTGTCCTGTCCTGGGCCGGGCGGGGCTTCGCCTTCACCTCCGCCTGGACGATCGGGTCCTGGCACACGCAGGCCGTGGCTGCCCACGCACTAACCCGGGAAGAGGTCGCGCCTCCTGCTCTCCCCCCCCTCCCCCAGCCCCCCGCACATCCCAGCCACTTGGCCCAACCCTGCACCGGGTAATTGGGTCGGGAGGGAGGCGACGGGCGGGCGGCGACTCCAGGGAGACTACGCGCCTGTCAGCTGCAATTTGTCTAAGTGGACGGGACAGGCCGGGCCGCTGCGGGCCGGGGTCAAGGAGGCCTCGGCCCCCACCCCAGCCAGACCCGGGACCGCGGGGGAGCCAGGCCGGGCGCTAAACGGGGCTGGCTGGCGCCACGGCTCGGGGAGGCGCGGATACGGCCTCGAAACCGGGGATGGGAAGCAACTCTGTGTGTCCGCCCACAGCCAAACACTCACAACCCGCTGAGACCCAGACAGCACTCCACTGTGCTGACACGCAGGGGCCACCCCCACCACCCAAGCCTGGCCTGGGCACAATCCTACACGACTGCGCACTCACACCAGCCCCGAAGCCGGTCCCCGCTCCTCCCCACCAGACACCCCCAAGCCATCCAGGCAGGGCTCGCAGATCCACGCCCAGTCGCACAGATTAAGACACAGGCGGCGACTGGGTCTTTGGGGCAGGTCCTAGCAGTGGCCCTTGACCTCACAGAAGGTGAAGGGGCCCAGGACTGGCGGGAAGCCCAGCCGGGCTCGGGACCGCGGCACCAGCCTGCCCAGGCGGTCCTTGCGGGTTTCCTTATTGCGGGAGCGCAGGGCGCACGGAGCGCGCGCGGGGACCCAGGCCGGGAGCCCGCGCCCGCCCGACGCCGGCCCGGAGGACTTGGGAGAGGGAGGGGCTGCTGAGCGCGCGTCCCCCGCCCGTCTGCGGGGCCGGGCCGATGCGAAGTGACAGGGGCCGGAGCTTTGTTGTGGAGCCTGGGCCGCCTGGCGCCAGCCGCCCCCGCCCATGCCCTCCCCCTCCAGCCCTGGGCGGCTCGCAAGGCGCCCCCCGGGGCCTCTTAAAGAGACACGCACTCTCAGCCCTGGGGACCCCCCAGAGGCTCCAGTTCCCCCGGCCGAGAAGAGGGGTAGACCCAGGTGAGGGAGGGGCCGAGCGGGCGGGGGCGCCGCAAAGAGCCGCACGCACGGGGCCGCCTGAGCCTCCCCAGCGCGGCTTTTCGAGGCGCCAAGGACAGTCCTCTCTGGAGAGTTTGGCGAGGGGAGGAGGGTGTAGATTCAGACTCTTGAGAGTGGCTGTAGCAAAACGTCGGGTTCGTTGCGGGAGGGTGGGACAGGACAGACGACAGGACAGGACAGACTGCGGAGCCAGGGGCCCAGAAAAAGCCTGCGGCCGCCGGAGGGCTGGTCCGTGGTCCAGTTCCTGTGGCCAGGTGGGGGCCTGGTCCCCAAATGCAGCCGCTGCATTGTCGCCGCCGGGTCTCTTGAGCAAATAATCCAGGCCAAACTCTCTGGGCCTTGAACCCTGGACAAGCTACGGACCTTCCCCAGGAAAATGTCCACATTGCACACAGCTAGGTGTACACACATTCTTACAAGTACGAACGCACTTGCACATACACGACTTTGCAAATGGATTCACGGGTTTCCAGGCCCTTCCCTGGGTCCCGGCCAAGCTCCGCTGCCTTGGCTACCATCTGGCACCTCGCGGATGGCGAGAACCTGTGCACACACATCCCTCCCGAGGGCCACATCCTGCCCAAGATGGACCCAGCAGGGCTTTCCCTGTTCAAAGCTGCAACGGATCCTGCCCCGGCTGCGTAGACTGCACAGCGCGGAGTCGAAGATTCGTTCTGGACAGAAAAGAGGATCTAAGTGAGGGGTGTGGGAGCGGCGCCCCTTTGAATGCTGGGTAGGGGAGTTCCGGGAGCACCAGGGCCGGCTGGGAAAACAGAAAAACGGTCGCGGAGGTCCAACAGCTCTGGCGGTCCTGAACCCAAATGCTAGGGACGAGAGGGCTTTCCATCCCAGATCCAAGTGCGCAGCAGCCAGCCAGGTGCACTGAGATTGGGTGTGCGCCGCAGATGACGGGCCAGGCTGCCTGGACACTGCTGGGTGTGGGCTGTACGCGCCCACCGTGCGGGCACTGGGCCTGTGCCCGCCGCACTCACCCGCACTTGCATTGGTTGTGCGGGCAGGTGTCCGTCTCGTCCTTACCGGGAATCAGTCTGAGTGCTGGCGCCCAGGCGTGATTCCAGGCAGGTGTGTGGCCGCTTCACTCTCTAGAAGCGCGCCTCAAGGTGCTGCTCCCGCTGCGCACAGAGGGCACCATCACACAGGGCGTAACACACTCACACACACGCATCGCGGGGTGGGGGAACACGGGGGCTGCCGGAAAACCGGACTGTTGGCGCGCACCTGTGGTTGAACACGTGCGTTTTGCCACCCGGAGGAGAGTGATCAACCACAGGTGCGCGCCCACATTTGGACCCCACTGCTCCGCACTCCTGGACTTGGGGGAAAGTGGCGGAGAGTGGATGGAGGATGCCTGTGTTGAGGATGATGGAGACTTTTGTCTCCAGTACCGGATGCGGCGAAAATGAGTTGGGTTTCGGGTCAAGAATCGGGGGCCGGGATTGGCCGCCTTGTGCTGGGCGAAAGGTGCGCTCCCTTCCTGGCCCCGAGAACGCCCGCCCTCGGAGGGCCCAGGGCTGGGTCCGGACGCAGACCTGCTAAGTTCCGGGCTGGCCCAAACTCCAAGTTCCTCCTGAGTCCTCCAGCGACCGGAGGCGCGGGCTAAGGGGTCCCCGCGTTTCCGGAGGGCAAGGCCGCGCGTCCCGCTCCCGCCCGCGCCGGCCCCACCAGCTCTGCCACGGCTCCACTCACCGGCTCCCGCCACTTGGGTTCCACTCCGGGACCTCGCCCGCCCACCGGCCTCTCTTTCCAGCACCCGCAGCCTCCCTCCGGAGTGCAGGGGCCCCGGGCGGCGCCGCGGCCGGGAGCGGGGTCGGAGGCCAAGCTGTGGAGCGGGCCAGAGCGTCCAGGCAGCCGCACGCAGGCGGAGGGCGCCCTCTCTCCTCTCGGGGCCATGTCAATGCTTTGCACTTGGGGCCGGCGAGCGGCTGGGGGTCCTTTCTCAGGGCCCTGAGACCTGGGCGCCCCTCGTCTCAAGCCCGTGAGGCGGGTCGGATCCGCCAGCCGCGCTCCCTGTACGGGCGCGGGCGGCCTCGGGCTCGGGCGCGGGGTGGGGGCCGGGGCAGGGGGAGGGGTCTCAGGGCCCGCTGGCCCGTCATTGGTTAATATTTTATTCTGTTGACATGTTTTCTTACTGCTGAGGCTTCCGACACCTTCTCCCCGGCCCCCCCCTCCCGGCCGGAGCTTGGCCTGAGCTGTCAAAACCCCGCCCCCGGAGACCCACAATTGGTCCAAAAAGCGTAAAATCAGCAATCAAGGGGGGCCTGGCTCGTTAGCGCAGGGGATCCGAGCAGGGCAGGACATGTGAGATAGTCACAGTTTCCCAGAGATCACGACAAGATCTAACCAGTCGCGCGTGGTCACCGGCGCCGGAGCGGGCCAGCCCAGCCCAGCCCCGCGCAGAGCCCCCGCCACCCCCGCGCTCAGAGCCCCGCGCCCCTCGCTGCGCGCCGGACGGGGAGCGGGAGGAGCCGCCGCCGCGCTCGCCACCCGGGTCGCCCTTCCAACTCGCGCGCCGCCGCCCGGGCCGGGGGTCCGAGCCCCGCGCCCCCGGCCCCGGCCCCCCGGCGCCTGGGCCGGATGTCCCGATGAGAGAGCCGGCGCTGGCGGCCAGCGCCATGGCTTACCATCCGTTCCACGCGCCGCGGCCGGCCGACTTCCCCATGTCCGCCTTCCTGGCGGCAGCGCAGCCCTCCTTCTTCCCCGCGCTCGCACTGCCGCCCGGCGCGCTGGCCAAGCCTCTGCCCGACCCGGGCCTGGCGGGGGCGGCGGCGGCGGCGGCGGCAGCGGCAGCGGCGGCCGAGGCGGGGCTGCACGTCTCGGCACTCGGCCCGCACCCGCCCGCCGCGCATCTACGCTCGCTTAAGAGCCTGGAGCCCGAGGACGAGGTGGAGGACGACCCCAAGGTGACGCTGGAAGCCAAAGAGCTGTGGGACCAGTTCCACAAGCTGGGCACCGAGATGGTCATCACCAAGTCCGGGAGGTAGGGCGGCCCGCTGGCCGGGGGGCGCGCGGGCGGGCGGGCGGGCTGGGGGACCCGACAGCACCCGCCTGCGCCGAGCCTGCCGCCCGGCGCTCCCGGCTCGGGCCGGCGCCATGCGGAGCTCCACAGACAACCAAGTGACTTTTCTCATTTGGCACCGAACGGTATTTTAAGAACTAAAACATCGAATTCTCCCGAATGAAGTAAAACGAAAACGTGCTCCTAAAGAATAGTTCCAACCCTTCTGCGTCCCACGGCGGAGGAGGCCCGCGGCTCGGCCCCGGCGGGTCTCGGAGGTCTCGGCTGCAACTTAGCCCCGCGGCCTTGCTCTCCTGCCTCCCAGTCTGGCTTAGAGCTCGGGGAGACCCGGCGTCTCCCGGACTTTCTTCCGATCCTGGAGCCCAGCATGGCACCCGCACCCTGCTAGATCCAGGCTGGCCCGCTGGTTCCTCCCGACCTGACCGCTCGGGTCCCGACAGCGACCGCGGAGCCAGCCCAGCCGCAGGCAGCCCTGACCCGGCCCGGAGCCTCCTCGGGGCCTAGGAGCCAGGAGCTGTGGACACACACGGCCCCAGGCCTTCAAGCCAAAAGGGAGCTGCAGTCCCCAACCCCTCCGCCTTTCCACTCAGCCACAGCCCAGGCCGCAGGCTGCCCTCTTCCCTGGGACTTCAGGGTCAGGGTCCTTGTTGGGCACTGAAACCCAGTTCCCCAGACAAACACCCTCTGGATGCATTCCTGGGAGCTTCTGTCCCAAGTGGGCACCCCCTGAACGACTCCAGGGAGAAGCGGGAGAAGTGACTGTGTTTTCAGAGGGTCTGGATTTCTTGCCTGGACATGGGCTTTCCTCTCAGATGAGGGTGAAAGAGGGTTCCCAGACCCGAACCTAGGGGCTAACAAGAAATGGGATTTTCCACGGGTAACAACCACAGGTGGGGTTTCCCAGGCAGCAGTCAGGGGGCAGAACAGCGACCGGAGGGAAACCCAGATTCGGGGCTCCAGGCCGCGGTGTGTAAGTCCAGGGACACAGAGCTGGGTCCCACGGCGTCTTCCCCTTTCCCTTCCTCGCAGGCGGATGTTCCCTCCCTTCAAGGTGCGCGTCAGCGGTCTGGACAAGAAGGCCAAGTACATCCTGCTGATGGACATCGTGGCCGCGGACGATTGCCGGTACAAATTCCATAACTCGCGCTGGATGGTGGCCGGCAAGGCCGACCCGGAGATGCCCAAACGCATGTACATCCACCCGGACAGCCCGGCCACAGGGGAGCAGTGGATGGCCAAGCCCGTGGCCTTTCACAAGCTGAAGCTGACGAACAACATCTCCGACAAACACGGCTTCGTGAGTGTGGGGCCGGCTTGGGGATGGGGGTCTGGAGACAGCACCTAGCACCCAGCCCAGGGTTCCAGCGAGAGGCAGGCACCTTCCCCAGAGGGGAGCGCTGGCAGAATCCCGGGGTGCCCCTGCAGGTCTCTTGCCCTGTGGTTTCTGCCGGCTGGGCCTGGACCCAGAGGCTCCGCTCTGTGAGCCTGGGGAATGGCAGGTTGGGGGCGGGTAAGTTCCAGGCTGCTCACAATCTGGGCTTGGGTCAGGCCTTCGAAAAGCCCTTCCTGGAGGCCAGTGGGATGCAGGTGCTGTTCTGCAGCCGCTGGTCTTTAGGTGTTGAGCTTGGAAGACCTGCCCATGACCTCAGCTTTTTTCCACCTTTCCTCGCCCAAACTAGGAGATTTAACAGTTAAATCAGCGCTTCCATGCCCTCCCTGAGACCCCCTCCCTCTCCCCACTGTCGGATGAAGACCGGGAGGAGGGAGTTTGGGGGTTCTCTCTGCTTCCGCCTGAGCCCGGCGGCTAATGGAGGGGGAGTTCATGGGGCAGGGGGACTGCCTATTCGTAGTTAGGGCAGCTGGTGAGGCCTCCACGTTCCCAATCTTCTCTCCGTGGGTTTTCTTGGGCTTAGCAATGAGCTTAGGAAGAGGAGTTAAAGTGGCATTGTGAAGGGTTTTTATGCTGTTTCATTTCTGTTTTCACCTCAGGTAAATATTTTCAAATGGAGAGAGAAAGAGAGAGAAACTGTTATAAAGAAAATAGACTGAAAAGAATTATAAATGAGAAAAAAGAGCAGGGGGGAAAAACACAGGAAAAAATAGCAAAGGGAGGTGAGGGGGGAGTAGGGAGAGCAGAATCGCGTGAGAGACAGAACTTTAAAGAGGGGGGTCCCCAGAGGGTGGAAATGCTCCGCAGAAGGCTGGGGGCCGCCGTCTGACCCGCACCCTCCCCGCAGACCATCCTGAACTCCATGCACAAGTACCAGCCGCGCTTCCACATCGTGAGAGCCAACGACATCCTAAAGCTGCCCTACAGCACGTTCCGCACCTACGTGTTCCCTGAGACCGACTTCATCGCCGTCACTGCCTACCAGAACGACAAGGTGCGGGTGGGCGGCCGGCAGCCCCTGCACCCAAGCCCCCACACAGGCTCCAACACTCCACTTACATCCCCCGCTCCGCCTCGCTCCCTCCCAGCCCACTCCCCAGCGCCAAGTCTGTCGTCTGTGAGCGCAGTGCCCACCGAAACCCCCCAGGCTCCCTCCCGAGTCCACAGCACGTAGGTACAGGCTCCCTGGGGCTCGCAACAGCTGGGCGCTCTCTTGGGGTGGGGATGTTTACTTAGCAATTAGCAGAGACTGGGCCCCGCTGACAATTTTACATTTCATTCGTTTTTTTCTTGGCTCCCGGATGGGAATTTAAATGAAGAGAGAGCGGCCCTAGGCAATGTGCCCAGGCGCTCTCAAGGCTAAGAACCTGGGGCACAGTTTCCACTCTCCCGGGGTAGCCAGAGATCGGGACAGGTGACAGCCCCCAAAGCCACCACCTTGAGGCCAGTCCAGGCCCCGGACCACTTGGGAGGTGCTTAGAGATGTTTCCTTCAAGCCAAAGGCCCCCACCCCCACCCCGCCCCGCTTTCTGCTTTCCTATTCCCTCTTTCTAAAGGGGCAAAGCACCACCCCGTTACGTCCGTTCTGTGTGTCTAACTCCCCGGTGAACAAGAGTGTCCGAGTGTCCTGACCGTCCTCCTGTCTTTGTGAACCTGTGAACCGATGTGTACGCTCAGGCATGCGTGCACCATTTGGGGCGTGTGGACGCGTGTTTCCTTGTTTGCTCTGCGGGCACTTGCTGTGTCTGTGTGCGCTTGCGTGTGCGGGGCCGTGAGTGTGACTTGTCTTCTATGGACCCGCGGCCCGCGCGCCTGCTCAGGTGCGGGCGTGTGCGCGCCGGGGCCTGCTTGCGGGTCGGCGAGCCGGGACACATTCCGCTCTGTGCGCACGGCTCTGGGCCTGTGTGTGCAAGTTGAGCGATTCTTCCTCGAATACTTCGGAGGAGGAGAGACCCTGTCGCTTTCTGAGAGGCCCGCCAGCCCGCCACACCTCGCCTCTGGGCTCAGGGCTGCAGGTCCCGGGCGGGAGGGTATCAGGTGGACACTCCCCGGCTCCCCTGTGAGCGCCCCAGGCCAGGCGGCAAGAGCCTCGGCCTGACCTGGCACCGCCCTCTCGGTCCCCGCAGATCACACAGCTGAAGATCGACAACAACCCGTTTGCCAAGGGCTTCCGGGACACCGGGAACGGCAGGAGGGAGAAAAGGTGAGGGGTGCGTGGGACCCGTCCGCGGTGGGTGCGCAGGAGCAGGACGTGGGGGTGGGTGCGCTCCTTCTGACCCGCTCCCTCTGCCCGTCCCAGGAAGCAGCTGACGCTGCCCTCGCTGCGCTTGTACGAAGAGCACTGCAAGGCCGAGCGCGACGGCGCCGAGTCCGACGCCTCGTCCTGCGACCCTCCCCCCGCGCGGGAACCGCCGCCGTCCCCGGGGGCGGCCCCGAGTCCCCTCCGCCTGCACCGGACCCGAGGTGAGGGTCGGGTGGTAGAGCCGACCGGAGGTGGGGGCAGGGGACAGGGAGGGTTTCCTCAGAGCGCAGGCTGGCTCTTTGCTCCGAGTCAGGGTAGCCTTGGGCCCAGGGAAGCGTCTGGGGTTTGGACGCCCCCAGGAGAACGGTCCCTGTAGCCCCAGATCCCGCTGGACTCCGCCTAGGTCCCGGCGCCGTGACTCTGGCGGGAAAGGGAGCTACAGGCTCAGGTCTCCCCTGTGCGTGGGGTCCTGGATTAGGCGACCTTCCCCTGCCCCTTGCCCGACGAGGGTCTAGAAGCCGTCCACTTGCTCTCCCAGACAGCAGGCTTTCCAAGTCTCTCGGACCCGCCCAGGCGCGGGAGAGCCCTCCACGTTGTCTGTTCCTGGCCCCTGTCACCCCGCGTGTCCTCTGTCCCCTGCAGCCGAGGACAAGTCGTTCGCCGCAGACAGCGACCCAGAACCCGAGAGGCTGAGCGAGGAGCGCGCGGGACCTGCGCTGGGTCGCAGCCCGGCCCTGGACGGCAGCAGCCCCCCTCGCTTGACCGAACCTGAGCGCAGCCGGGAGCGGCGCAGCCCGGAGAGGGGCAAGGAGCCGGCGGAGAGTGGCGGGGACAGCCCCTTTGGTCTGCGGAGCCTAGAGAAGGAGCGGGCGGAAGCCAGGAGGAAGGACGAGGGGCGCAAGGAGGCGGGTGAGGGCAAGGAGCCCAGCCTGGCACCGCTGGTGGTACAGACAGACAGTGCGTCCCCCCTGGGCACCGGCCACCTCCCGGGACTGGCTTTCTCCGGCCATCTGCACGGGCAGCAGTTTTTCGGGCCACTGGGGGCCGGCCAGCCGCTCTTTCTGCACCCGGGACAGTTCGCCATGGGCCCTGGAGCCTTCTCCGCCATGGGCA